TAAGAAATGTCTGCAACTTGCTGCCAGGAGGGGACGGTATTTTTAGGGACAAAAAGAGGTTTTCTAGAGAAATTAATGGGCAACAGTTTCATAAATGGGCATTAAAAAGACTCGGTAGGTGTCTGCCCTCTAACATACCCTAATATGGCAGTTGTGGAAGCTGGTGGAGTACAAAGTAGAGACTTCAGAAACGGGCCAGGCTAGGTGCCCTCCCCAAACAGCATCTTCTTTTGCTGTGGCTGGAGACCCAATATGGGCTGCAGAGACCTTTGGTCGAGCCCTGCAGGGGACCTCCTGCGTTGTGTTCAGAGTTGGCACTGGTGCCTGGAAATGACCGCAGTGCCACAGTTTGTTCTCCAGCAGTCATTTAATACCATCACAGAAGTTACTGTGCTGTCAGGAGCTGGCAGACCCTGGAATAACAGGGGATCTGGGTGTGGGATTTCAGGAGTGGGATGGAGCTCCTCAGCATGGGGCAAGGAGCACCTTGGCCTCTCTGTGGCTGGAGCTTCTTCAGCAGTGCCAGGCTGGGGGTGGGTGAGCTCAGCTTACCGATTTTTCATCTGAGCCAGTCCCTACAGATTTGAAACTCACTTTCTACTCCAAACATGGTGTGTTCTTTGAAGAAAAGAGTATGAGGAGAGAGGAATGCAATTAGGGAAGATGTTTAATGAAAACAAATAGTCAAGTTTCACTTGCACAGGCATTGCTAAATGAGCTTTATATCCGAGTATTGTAACTTTGATTTAGTGGCAGAGTTTTGTCCTGGCTACATTGATGTTTTAGATTTTTTTTTCCTAAGTCTGTGTCCAGATATCATCAATCTGCATTGAAAAGTGTAAATTTAGTAAAGGTCACTCACCCTTGTGAAAACACATCTGTTTTTTAGCCAATCATCTTCTTTATTTGAATCCCATTAAAGCTCCCCAGCTAGGACTCACTTGTTAACTCAAACCCTTTTTGATTCTAGAAGATTTTGCTTGTCTTAGTGCAACAGCAATTATTTATATCTACAAGGCTGTGATTTGGCCAGAGAATTCTACAGCAAATAGAGTATGATAAGGAAAGGAAAAAAGTAAATTTTTTTTTCCATTGATCTTTAGATTAGACACCAATAGTTGTAGAGCTAAACATGTTTTTTTATAGTAAAATTTGCTGTAAAGAAGAGTGTATTTAGTATACAGAATAAGAGAGGATTATTTTAACTAAAAGTCTCTAAAATGAGAGGATACTGAAAGCCTCACTAGGAGGAAGAGGAAGGGGAAAGAAACTTGGTGAGGCCAGAGGAACTGAGAGCAAATGAGGGCAGAGTGGCAGGAAGCTGCTGGGGAGATGTCCAGATCTCACCCTCCTCTCTGGCGGGAGTGCACTAACCATGAGGCACATAGTGTGAGCCGGAAATTACTGGAAGGCTAAAACAGTTTTAAAAATAGTTTACATTTGTCATTATTCAATGAAAATGTCATGTTAATGTACCACAAGAGAGAGATTATTGAGTGGGCATTGAGCACTTGAAGAGAAAGATGTACCACAACAGAGAGAGATTAGTGAGGGGGCACTGAGTGCTCAAAGAGAATGAACAATCCTGTATCTGAAGCACTGGCAGAGGCCTCGGGTGGGCTGCATTCAGTTGTGGGCTGCATTCAGTTGTAACATTCATCACACTCTTCATTTGTGCTCTGAGCAATTCAATTCACCTCTCTTGTCCTCAGGTCTCCAAACTACACAGCGTTTATCAGAATAAATCTGTTACATGCTTTTCTGTAAAGGAATATAACTGAAAAACTGAGAGGTGGTAATCTGCCCCACTTTAATTTAGGAACCTGAATTTAAGAGCTCCTTCTAATGTTCTTCAAAGGCACCATCTTCATTTAAGGTGCCATTTAGGCAGTTTTAGGGAAATTATTTCATCAGATGGCTTGGCTAACACTTACTGCAGGCTGGACCTCCTCCATAGCAAACAGATAGCAGACTGGTTTTCTGTGCATCCTCTAAAGTTAAAGAAAGACAGGACCTGCCACAGAGTGTTAGGCACCTTGTGCTGGATGGTACGGAGACTCTCCAGGGGCAAACAAAATGTAATAGTCAAC